GACTGGAATGCCATCACCTCCACCAGCCTTGTTGTTAGCCATGCTTTCCAAGGCCCCCTTGACTTCACTCTCCAGGATGTCTGGCTCAGGGTCAGCAACCACACTGTCTGGGTTGTCTGGGATATCCAGATCTTTCTGGTCTAATTTCTCTGTGACTTCTTGCCACCTCTTCTTGATGTCTTCTGTTTCTCTGAGGTCCCTACGATTTTTGTCCTTTATCATGTCCATCATTGCACAAAAGGTTCCTTTAATATCTCCAATTTTCTTGAACAGATCTCTGGTTTTTCCTTTTCTATTATTTTCCTCTTTATCTTTGCACTGGTCATTTAAGAAGGCCCTCTTATCTATTCTTGCTATTCTTGGGGAGTCTGCATTCAGTTTTCTGTAACTTTCCCTATCTACCTTGCATTTTGTTTCCCTTCCCCTCTCTGCTATATGTAAGGCCTCGTTGGACAGTCACTTTGTTTCCTTTCCTTTGAAATGGTTTTTGTTGCTGCCTCCTGTACAATGTTACAAGCCTCCAACCATAGTTCCTCAGGCACTCTGTCCACCAAATAGTGTTCCTTAAATTTGTTCTTCACTTCCACTGTGTATTCATAAGGGATTTAGTTTGGATTACACCTGATTAGCCCAATGGTTTTTCCTACTTTCTTCAGTTATGCTTCAGTTTTGCTATAAGAAGCTGATGATAAGAGCCACAATCAACTTCAGGTCTTGTTTTTACTGACTGTAGAGAACTTCTCCATTTTTGGCTGCAGAGAACATAATCAATCTTATTTCGGTGTTGCCCATCTAGTAATGTCCATGTGTAGAGTCGCCTCTTGTGTTTTTGGAAAAGTGTTTGTGATGGCCAGCTTGTTCTCTTGACAAAACTGTATTAGTTTTGCTGTCCTCTGAAGATGCCGGCCACAGAGACTGGCGAAACGTTAGGAAGAACCACCTTCAGAACACGGCCAAGAAGCCCGAAAAACCCACAACAACCATTAGATCCCGGCCGTGAAAGCCTTCGTGAATACATTAAAACTGTATTAGCCTTTGCCCTGCTTCATTTTGAACTCCAAGGCCAAACTGACCTGTTCTTTTTATCTCTTGACTCCCTACTATAGCATTCCAATCCCCTATAATGAGAAGAATATCTTTCTTTGGTGTCAGTTCTAGGTGTTGCAAGTCTTCAGAGAAATGGTCAATTTCAGCCTCTTCAGCATCGTTGGTTGGTGCATAAACTGGGATGACTGATGTCAAAAGGTCTGCCTTGAAATCATTCTATCATTTTTGAGATTGTATCCCAGTACAGCTTTTCCCTTTGTTGACTATGAGGGCTACTCCAGTTTTTCTATGAAATTCTTGCCCACAATAGTAGACATGATAATAGTCTGAATTCAATTTGCCCATTCCTGTCCATTTTAGTTCACTGACGCCCAGGATGTCAATGTTTATTCTTGCCATCTCCTGTTTGACCACATCTAGCTTACCAAGGTTCATAGATCTTACATTTCAGGTTCCAGTATTTTTCTATCCAGCATCGGCCTTTCCTTTCACTTCCAGGCACATCCTCAGCTGAGTGTCCTTTCTGCTTTGGCTCAACCACTTTATTAGCTCTGGAGCTACTTGTACTTGAGCTTCCGGGTCTAAGTCGCGCTGGCCACGTGACAACGGAAATTGTCTTTGGACAAACGCTGGCTCTACAGCTTGGAAATGGGGATGAGCACCGCCCCCTAGAGTCAGACACAACTAAATGTCAAGAGGAACCTTTACCTTTACCTTCCTCAGTAGCATGTTGGATGCCTTCCGACCTGAGGGGCTTATCCTCCAGCATCATATTTTTTAGCCTTTTATTTCTGTTCATGGAGTGGCTTGCCAGTTCCTGCTCCATCTGGATCACATTTAATCAGAAATCTCCCCTATGACCTGTCCATCTTGGTTGCCCCTGTACAGCATAGCCCATAGCTTCTCTGAATTCCTCAAGCCCCTTCACCACAACAAGGCAGCAACCCATGAAGCGGTATAATCAAATTATAGTGACCCTAATAGGGCTTTCAAACTAAGTGAGATATTTAAAGAGTGCTTCTACCCGTTCCACAACCCCAGTACACTTCTATGGATGAGCAGGGATTCAAACTCAGGCTTTCTAAGTGCTAGTCTGTCACTATATCACACTGGATATTCAGTCTACTGCAGTATATTGACCCTGGCCTGCTATTATAAACATAATGGAAATAATACTTGATCCAAAATAGAATTGCAAAAATTGTTAACAGAGACCAGACATTTCAAACCTATTCTGCCAGGACTCAGTCAGCTAGACTCACCTGAAGTCCATTTCCAAGCTCAATTTAAAGTTCTGGTCTTCACTTTTAAATCTGTTATTGACAGCAGATTACTAGTAAATTGACCTTTTCCCTCTTTCCCAGCTGAACGCTAAGATCCTCTTCAGTAGCCAACTCCATTTACTGCTACCACCAAGTGAAGTGAATGTTCCTACAAAGAGGCCTTTTTTTGGCCACGGATTTCTCCAGAAAGCTGGGAATACCTTCCCCAGAAAGGCTTGCATGGCACCTTCTTTAATGGCCTTTTTGGCATCTTTTCTAATGGCCCTTCCTCCTTGTGCTACATATTTAACTCCAGCACTGCCAAAGTGAACCTGCATGATCTGCTGGAGTTCATAGACCCTTTGGTCTGTTTTTCAACTTTTCTCCAAAGCCAAGGTTTTATCTTGGGTGCTCCATCCAGAAGACTGTTATCAGCCAGGCAATATAGATGCTGTACAGTCAATACTGGACAATCATTAAACAAGATAAAATTATCGAACAATAATTGTAGAGACTCATATTAAAGCTACTGCCAGATACTTCCCTATTAGGCACAAAGTACTTTACAGACCTGCCTTATTTAACCTTCGTAGCAATCTTGTGATGTAGGCCCCACATTTGCATCCTACAAGTGTACAAAATGAGACCAGTGATGAAACAGTTATGGCTTCCTGAAATACAATGACCTGTAAAAGCTGATCAATGCCCTTTTCTTTATTGGCATACCATGGCCTTTGCCTTTCAATTGTGTGCACTTTCCAGTTATAATTAGTGGTGTTCTACTGTTACATTATTGCAATTTGGTTTAATGTGATAATGTTGCCACTGCCTCCAAATTGATTCCAGAAAGGAATTGTGTCCTAGGTAGACGAATAAGTTTCTTAATGCTGATTACAGAAAGCAAGAACATGCTGTCACATCTTAAACTAGCAGTTGAGGACTTAGTCCTACAGCAGTCATTTATTCATTTTATTTATTAAAACTATTTTTATCCCGCCTTTTTCCTAAAAAGGACCCAAGGTGGCTTACATCATTAAAAAGAAACAATGTTAAAAGCAAAAAACAGTAAGTTGTTAGAATACTAAAAATGAATTAAATAAACATAATACTAAAAATAAGCAGAACACTTTGCTTTGCTTTAAAAACTACTATAGATAAAAACATTACTAAAGCTGTTTTAAAAGAAACAACAGTTCAAGCAATCCATTTTTTAAAAGCTCTCTTTCGATAGCCAGTTCCTCAGGGAAAACCTGCCTGAAGAAAAAGGTCTTGCCTGCCTGGGAAAGGACAGCAAAGACTTGGCCTCCTGTGGGAGGGAGTTCCATAGTCTTGGAGAGCAGGGATAGAGAAGACCCTCTATATGTACCCATCAAACAGACCTGTGAAGGTGGTGGGATTGGAGGAAAGGCCTCCCCTGATGTTCTTAACACCTGGGCAGGCTCACAGAGGGTTATTTTAGAAGCCTAGCTTACATTCCCCATTCACATGAAGGGTGCATTCATCTCACTAGTGGGCAGGAATTGGAAAATATATGGCCCTACAGAGTACAGATGTTGGAGTACAGCTCTGATCTGTCATAGCTAGCATGTCCAACAACAATGAACAATGTTTTTTTTCCACTGTTGCAAATACTTATTACCATATTTCCCTGAAAAAAAGTGTCTTATATTACGTTTTGCTCCAAAACACACATTAGGGCTTATTTTCAGGGGATGTTTTATTTTACAGTCATGTCATCTTCTGTTTGCTGCACAATGGTGGAGGGTGGGGTTTCACTTAACTAGGGCTTATTTTGGGGGTAGGGCTTATATTACGAGCATCCTGAAAAATCATACTAGGGCTTATTCTCAGGTTAGGTCTTATTTTTGGGGAAACGGGGTACCACAAATGGAAGCTCTGGTCCCTGCCATAATTTCCCCTGCAAACTACTGTACACAAAAAAGGATGGGCAGGTGCCAAAATGTCTTCACTTCTTCATTCTAACTTTGGAGCGATCAAAGAGCGAGCTGCTGAACCTGTGAACTTTCCTACCCACAGAAAGCTGGCAGCCCTATGCATTCCTTCAGATGGCGAATGCTCCAATTCTCACAACATGCCTTCCTAACCAACCAGTTGTGTATTTACTTCTCTCTCCCTGCTGGGGAGTGGTTGCAGCTGCCAAAACATCCTGTTCTGTGAACTGTAACTTTATTAAATATAATAAGGTTACAAAAATAAAAAGAGAGAAAACAGTTAATGTAGAGAGACAGACAGGGAAGTAAGGAGGGAGGGAGGGAAGCCGGGGGAGGCAGGTGGCTTTGAACAGAGATGAAAATGTTTAATATTGTTTCCTGAGACGTCTGGCACAGAACAGCTGCAGGACTTAACAGACTGTGCAGATCACTACCCCGAGAATTGGTTTGGGAGAACTGGTTTTCTCTTTCCTGCAAACTTCTATTTTGGACATTTTCTAGCAAGGGGAAGAAGATAAGCAAGCGTTCATGTTGGAAGACACACCCTACTCCAATCTGGGATATTAATAAATTTCGTCTGCGCCCACGTTTCAACGTCATTTTATTGTTTTCTTTAAAGCATTCCTCTTACACACACACACACACACGTGTGTGTGTGTCTCTTTCCTTCTCCCTCCCCTTTCCTCCATTCTTTTTTTTTTTTTTTAATGTTGCTTAGAAGCAGTCTGATATACTCTTTCCTTCTCCTTCCCCTTTCCTCCATTCTTTATTTTTTTTTAAAAACGTTGCTTAGAAGCAGAAAGACAGTCTGATACCCTACCAGGGCTAAGGGAGCCCCAGGCTGACTACGCAGACCATGAGCATTGGGTTCACAAGAGACATCGCGGAGTTCACTGAGCCTTTATGCCATCTCCCAGGTGCCATCTCTCCCGCTGCTGAGATTCTTCTCTACGAGTCTGGCACCAAGGTCTCCCTCGTGTGTTCCTTCTTAGTCACAGCATGCAGGTATTTCAGTCGAATGACAGGAAGCTCCTTGTAAAGGTCAAACCCCACTGGGCTATCTTTGTTAGGCAATTTGTAATAGAGTAGATGTCTCTTCAGTGCCTAAAAACGATAGTAAATTGAGTGCAATTGAAAAGCAAAACAAATTCTTCCAATGTACTCCAATAAGACTCTGAGAAACTACAAGCCTTTCCTTTCCAGAAAATGTGTTGTGTTTTGTTTGAGCAAGGAAAATGTACAAAGTTCACTAAATCACTCAAACCACATAATGGTCATCTAATGACACATCTGCTGCAGGAAACCACTGCCAAAATGCAGAAAATCAGGGTTCTGGCTTGAATGGAGAGACTCCTGGGATAGAAAAGACTCTTGTCTTCAAGCCTACCGCTTTTTATACAAGCAACACAGTAATGCAAGGAATGGAAAAAGCACTGCCCATTCTTGTGCATTGACTAACTTACTGAGAAGGTAAAAATACTTACATATTTCCTTGGCCTTGATGCAAAGGAGTGCCTTGATATATAGGGGCACCCCGTCACAATATTGGGCAGAAGCAGCAAGCATTCTGGCTTGTCTATAAGAGCTAAAGGATCACATTTTTGTTTATAGCAATGGCATTTGAAACAAGCAAAAAACACCTGTTTTTTGCATGAGAAAGGTGTATTTTTGCATTTAACACTTTGCATTTTATACAAAATACAAGGTTTTCTGCATATAGTAACAGGTTTCCTGAGCTAAAAACACTTCAGATTTTTTACAAACTGTGCCAAGGTGTGAATAATGCAGAAAAACTCTTGCAATTTGGTTTAGCAAGAAGAAAGCTTTTGAAATTTTTCATTCTCATCTATTAGAAGAAAAAAGCAATGGTTTATGTCTCTACTAAACATGATTAAGACTGGTTGAATAGGGTTTGTGGCTCTTTGTTTCTGTTGTCTGAACTGGGAAATAGGGTAAGGGTGGCAAATAACACAATGGTTTTCAGTGTCAATCTGTTTAGGCACAAACACACCCATATAGATGTGTTTTCAAAGCCAATGGCCCTGCATAAAAGATGTATGAATTTTTTAATATTTGTAATATGTTGAGTGCCTGACACAGAAAATTTACCTCATCTGCCAAGAACCAGGTCTTCTTCAGCATGGTTTTTCGGGCAGCATCAGCCTCCTGAGACAAGATACAAAACATGCAAGTTCAGATATCTTTATTAGCTTATTTTTTTTAAGAGCAAATATGCCTCCCACAAGAATTACCTCTGTCATCACAGAGAATGCCGAAAACTACAAATGCTCAAATCTCTATACCCTGCATATCAAACGTGTCTTTCTCCCAGAGTCTGGGTTGCACAGAAGAATCAATGAAGATATATCTGCTTCCTTAGGCTGCTTTTTCTGGTCTGCCATCTTGCAACATGAGCTTTCCATTGGCAGGCCCAACAAGTAAACTGATGTGCCAGAGCCTGGTTTCCCGAGGATTTTATGAACACATTACACAGCTGGTCTCACAAGGTAGGCCTTGTGTGAGTGAGTGTGTATTTTGCTAAAGACACTGAAACCACACAGGAGTATTTTTTGGGGTGAAATGTGCATTGCACAACAGCCTGCATCACAATGAGACTTTGAAAGATGATTACCTACCTCTGTGGTGCTGTCCTGAGAGAAAATGAAGCTGTTAACATGGGCCACAGCAACCACATAAAGTACTGGGCACCAATTTTGACGCAAGGCCCCTGTCACCAGGGCCTGGAAGTACTGCTGTAGGAGGTTGATATTGTCCTCAGGAGGGGAAAGGTATTGCTCCAAAGGCAAAGGGAACTGAAACAAAGCCAAGACAACAACAGCATTCTGCTTAAATATGAGAGGCACAAAGAAAACTTTACTTGATCCTTATTAGTTAAAAGAATTAAGGAAGAAAACATCCACAGTTAACAATTCTTAGAGGTACTTGCTGGACAATCAGTCCACCTGAGCCCAGGGACCAAGAGGAATCAACAGCATGCTATGGTACAATAAATCATTCTAAGTTCCATACTCCTAAAGGACTCTAGAAGCCAGCTGGAGGCAGCTGGTAGGGGTTAGGAGTGCTAGGCTCAGACTTGGGAGCTCCAGGTTTAACCCCCCCCCCAAAAAAAAAGCCATGAAACTCTCTGGATGACACTGGAACAATCTCTCTCAACTTGACTTACGTAACAGAGCTGCTGTGAGGACAACATAGGGAGGAAGAGAGTCATGAATGATGTTCTGAACTTACTGAGGTAGAGCATAAATGTAATCAATAAATATCTTCTTCCCATAGCCTTTTTTTCTGCTGGCACATATCCCTTCTTGATCCCTTCCCTCCCTGCTCCAGAGATTTTTCTGGACTGCGTGACAGTTCTTTCCCAAAACCTATTTTGTAAGCCAGTAGAGTAGTGCCTTGTTCCAGACCCCTGCTATCCCAAAGCTACACACCAACTGTGCCCCCATGATTTCAGACAGTGGTTGTGTGGCTAAGAGAAGCAGGTTCCTTGCCGTGGGATTTAAAACAATCAAAATTAATTTAAGGATTTCAGCCACACTTTGAAAACACGCAAGAGCTTAAGGCTCTTCCGGGATCAAAATTCTCCAGATCAGTGACAGAAAACTGATGCTATGGATGCCATTCCCATTGAAGTTTTCTCTTCAGATGGAACAGCACATAGACAGCATTCTTCACTGAGGAGGAGAAACTGCCCATGCTCGCCTCCTCCCCCTGCCCTGTCCTAAATTATTTGGCATGTCTGATTAGAATGCCTTTGGCTGGAATGAAGGACGTGGTCCCTTTCCTCATGACCAGAAAGAGCCTATTACATCCCTGAGGCTCTCATCACATCACACTCTGAACCAGATGCAGCAACGGTGAGGCAGACCTGCTGGAGCGGGACTCCAAGTGCTCTCAAGGTGCTCACATGTTCCCCAAAGACTGCCATCCTTAGCTGAACGCTGAAACGCCTCTGAAGAGGAAGAAGCACAAAGATACCAAAGAGAGGGTCACCAAAGGAAACTCCTTCAAATTGTTCAAGGAGGTTGATGTAAAGGTCGTGAAAAGAGGCTAAGCCAGGGAGAGGAGCATCTAAGTTCAAGGAGTCCTGCACTCTAGGATGGCAGTACAGGGAGAGGAGAGCAGCCGCGTAGCAGTGGACAGGGCCTTCCAGGAACAAGTCACTGCCTGTGAGGAAGACACACATCAGTCTTGCGAATTTGGCTGCTGCTGAGATGCCTTGAAGGACTTTGGCTCTCCAGGTCTCCAACAGGAGGACCCACTGCAGGTTCCGAGTCACAACATTCACTAGGTCCACGGGAAGAGAAGGCAGCACAGCCCACAGGGGTTCTGATCCTGTCACTTTGTTATAGAGGCTGATCAGAGGAAGGAATGGCCAGTCAGAAGGAAGAACAGGTCCTCTGACCTCAGGGAGCAGCATAGATTGCACAAGGTGAGTTCGTCCTTGGTAAACATGCGTGGAGCGATGAAGAGCAGGTTCCAGGTAAGCAAAATGAGAAAGGTAACAGGCCTGGATAAGTGGGAGATGCTGGTATGCTTCTTTCAGTAAGGCACCACGAGTAGGGAAGGAGGGCATGGCAGCAGCTGAGCCTGGCTTTGCCTTCGAGTCCAACTGCAGAAGGTCTGAGAAGTCAGCAGCTTCTGGGCCTCCTTCTTTGCCTTCTCTGTGGAAAAGGGCAAATGGATCATAAACATGGATGCATTTTTTACTAAGGGAACGGGGCACAGACACATGCTTCTCATGCATTCCCTGAACATAAGAATAACCCCCAAGAGAGTACATCATTTCCCGGTTTACAAATAAAAGAGCTCCTCAGTTCCAAGGGTCACTGCTATCATTCTCCTGTGGACAGGTTTCTCTTCGGCCTTTGGTTGGCCACTGTGTGAACTGCATTGAAAGTCAGCCATGGTTCTTATCCCCCGAGGAGACACATTCTACAGTTTTATAAGGTGTTGTTTATAAGAAGGTAAGCCCTGTTATACTAGATTGGACCAGGGACCCATGCAGTCGAACACTCCATGGCTAGAGAACGGATGGCCAACATGTGAATGTCCAGCTGCAGTTGTTCAACTGTACCCCTATCCCCCCCCAAGGCGAGTGGAGGGGAAGGTGAACGAGGATGGGTGTTGCAGTCCAGCTGGAGAGCCATACGTTGCACCTTCCTAAAGGAGACATAGCTGGTGGAGTTCATATATACAATGTGAAAAGGTAAAGCTGTCCTGTTTTTCTCAAGCATTTGGAACTCAGAGGCCCTTTCCACATAAGCTATCAGAGTCTGTTGTGCCAGAAAGACCAGTCCTACATCAATATGGGTAGTACTTTTTAACTCCATCACACCCTGAACAAGTGAACTTAAAAAAAGCAGAATTTTTATTATATTTAGTTTGGGTTGTCAACTGCCCTTATATTGCCTTACGGTTTCATTCAGTCTTTGCCCATGCTCTGGACACTAACTGGTCTTTAACAAACTTAAGCAAAAACACAGTGCAAATGAGTTTTGAAAGGCTTAGGTAATGACAAGCAATGTTCATCCTCCTCATTTGAGGGGGCTGTGCATTTCTGCAGTCAACACTATGTGATTTCAGAGAAGGTGGCTTGCTGAAATATAGACAAGGAGTTAGTGAAAATAAAATGGCATAAAACATTATTGCACGATTAGGTTAGGCAGTTTCTTAATGCAGGGAGAGTGTTCTGATATTGATCAGGATGAAACTCAGCACTCCATGTTTCAGCTCAGACTGACATGGCACAGTAGTACAGAGTATGCTGGATTTGGCCTGTGTGGGTTCAAAATACAGTAAATACAAAATATAGTGGTTGAACAGCTCTTTGAAAGGCTGTCATGCAGACGAGGGGCAGGGTTTGTTCTCGATCATCCCAGAGTGCAGGACGTGCAACAATGGGCTCAAGTTACAGGAAGCCAGATTTCAGCTGAATATCAGGGAAAATTTCATAATTGTTGGAGCAGTGCGGCAATGGAACCAATTACTTCGAGAGGTGGTGAATGCTCCAACACTGGAGGCTTTTCAAGAAAAAGATAATCACCTGGCAGATATGCTTTGATTTGTATTCTTGCCTTGAGCACCGGGTTGAACTTGGTGGCCTTATGGGCCCTTCCAACTTCATTATTCTATGAATCTATGATAAATGCTTGAAATTCCACATGGATTTATTTGAAGAATTTCTACAGAGCAGCTGGGCAGTTAAAAAATGGCATACCTTGAAAAGGAAACGGTTTTAAAACAGATCTGGATGAAACCCAAGATCAAGGAGAAATTAACAAAAAGAAAAACAAAGTACTGTGCCCACTTTCAGAGCAACATATTTGCTTCATTTGTTTTATGGATGCAAACCCCTTCTTCAAATATATAGGGCAGAGCCATGGGACAAATTTTATTCCCCTATCCCTCACCCCACCTTGCTTGCTTGCTTATTTATTTATCATTTATTTTTAGTGCTTATATTAAATACTATATTGCCATCTTTGGAGAGGGGAGGGAAGAAATCTGTTATGCAGTAGGAGAACTTTACAAAATGAAAGCCAATAAAGAGGATTGGGAGACTTATAACAGCTCTCAGTTTCAGGAAGAACAAGGAAGCAGCAATTGTGTGTCAGTGTAATAAAACTGGAATGGAAACTGTTGCCTCAGTTGCACCAAGAGTGGAACCATAGCTACAAGGAAACAAGGCTGCTGAATAGGGCCAACTCATAAACTGCTTTAACTAGACTCCACTGAAAATATTCCTTCCCTTCTTTTTTTCCAAAGATGAGGATTGACAGGAGCTGCAGTCGTATTCTTCCCTGAGCACTGGAAAAGTATTATTCAAGGGAAGTCATATGGGGGCGGTGAACTAAAGAAACTTACGGAATCAGTTTTGGATTAAAAACGAGGCCCAATAGGAGTTCGTGAGCCAGGTGCTCGCTGCCTGGCAACAAACGACTTAACAGCGCCATGGCAACAAAGTGATGGAGTGAAGCATGCTGGTTGTAATCCGGACAAGTATCTGCCTGCACAGGAAACAAAAATCCAATATATGTAAGTGGTGCAACACATTCCAACAACATAGACAGAAGGACATGATGAGGACATTAGGAGATATTCTGTGCCAAGTTGCAAAAGTGAACAGCTTCTTATAAGATGCCTATATTGCCAACACTCATTCCTCCTTTTTTTTCATTAATATGTACACAATTATCTCCAAAACTGCCAAACGTGTGTATCCAGCATCACAAGAGAAAAACCAAGACAGATTCTGATTGATGAAAGTCTAGAATTTGCCAGCCGCCTGTACAACCAATCACCTCATGGCTAATGCAAGAGAGGAAAACATGTGGTCCTCCAGTTCCTGGATTGCAGTGTAGCCCAACAAAGCCCTAGCTGGAGACGACTGACAGGAGCTGCCGTCCAGCAACATCTGGAAGGCTGCATATTCCCCATCCCTCAATTTAAAAATTCACATTACGCACAAAGAAAGCAGCCCAGAAGCTGTCTATTTCCGTCATTTGAAGCAAACAAACAAACCTTTAGGTACCTGTAAACTGCTAATAAGCTACTCTCTTGTGTGTCCATGTGTGGCAAAACTGGGACACAAGGCAACATTTTTCTTCTTTCCCCCATTTCTTTATCAAAACAAGAAAAACGTTTGCAGGTGTTGGCTGGGTGTGTGTGTGTGTCAAGTGCAGCAACTGGCTTCAAACACTGAATAAAAGATGCCTCAGTCCCATTTACCATCATTCCCATCACCCTCCTTCCCCTCCTCTGCAGGTTCTAAGCAGATGAAATCAAGAATCCAGAATAGATGTTTGAAGGAGTGAACATACCATTTTCTGAGCGACTGCGAGGACAAAATATTGAAAGTGGTATTCATGGCGCAAAAGCCAGGCAGAGGAAGAGGCTAGAAAAGGTGGCCCAGTAGTCCAGCTTTGGATCAGATAATCTTTCAGACTTTTCACATCCATTATAGAAACATACTGTTAAGAACAAATGAGTTAGTTACAAACACATACATCCAGAGAGAAGAGTTTCTTGAGTTGGCCACTGTGGACAAACAGAAACAGCATTCATATGGCCAGCAATCAGTTACTATAACATCCTTCTCATAATATGCTGGGAAACTGTAAAACTGATGGCTTCCTGGGAGATAATAATGCACTCTGCATTTACAGTCTTCCCTACTTATACTTTTTGAAGACACAGGGCAACATTAACGCTATTGGATCTGACCCCAGTGCTGTGTGCTCCAGACGTCTGGACTCAAAACAGGAACTGACAAATACCATTCCATCTTTGTGTACTGTCACAGACCACCCCAACCTCTATGCAAGCAGACCCCATGGCCTATGGTTTAATGCAGGCCAGGGAAACATCTGCTTCATGGCCTAACCTGGCCCACAGAGACACCTAATCTCTCCTGCAATCTTCCTTTCCTTCCCCAAACCTCACTACTAGAGGAATTCTCACATCCTTTGATCAATCACCAGAGTTAAGAGGGATTCCTTTGCTAGCTTCAGGCTCAGCTGCCAAGCACCAGGTGACAGCTTTTTGCTCCACCTCTTCCCTTTTCTGCAGAAGGCCCAAGGGTCCCTGTGCTTTGATCAGGGATCTAGTGATGCAGAAATCATCCCAGCTCACAAAAAGCTTCCCTGGAAGGGGAATATTTCTGTTTCCTGTGCCATTCTTCCTTTCATACCCCTTAATGTTCTGTGTCATTCCTTACACTTTAGATCGTGTGCCTGAGGACAAGGCTATGTCAGGGCCTAGACTGTAAACCCATTCTGGGAGACTTGCTTTGGCTGAAGGGCACGGCATAAATGCAGTCAATCAATCACAGTCCCCAGCTGATTATGGGATGATGCAAATGAGAGTCTCCCCTCTGGCACATTCTTCGTAGGCTCACTCTTCTCCACTTTGTTCTTTCCTCCCCCTGCAAACCTGAGAAGAGGTGTTTGGAAGCTGTGATTAATCAAGCTTCCAAATACCTCTTCATGGTCATGGGAGAAAAGAAAGAAGTGGGGGAGCATGAAAATCCAGAAAAGGCCACACACACACACATATATCACGATAGTGTGATGTGTATCCAAATACAGCTAATACGCCCAACTGTCGGCCCCATTCTGCAGGTTTTATCAGGCTGGCTGCCTTAGCAACATAACCAGCACGAACCTAACATAGTTACAGTGCTCATTTATACAAGCTCCTCAAATGCAGAAAAGTGTCCCTTCCTAAGGACTCCTGTTTGGGGCAACCAGAGCATGTTCCCTACAGAAAAGCTCTCTCTATAAAAACACACCTCAGAAAGCCAGGACTCACCTCACCAACCAGCCCTTTGTGGAGATGAATGATGCTGTTGATGAGGGCGAGGAAGGCAGTTAGGAAAGGAAAAGGTGATTTAGAGCCTGCTAAACTCATTGGAGGCTTCCTTCCAGTGCAACTCAGAGAAACAAGGTTGGGGAGAGATTCTGGTGCTGGAGAACAGGAGAAAGGATTGCACAGAGCAGAGCATGGCCTGCAGAGAGAGAAGAGAGAGAGAGGGAATAGCCATGCAGTTAAAAATTTACTGGTGCCAATGGATTTTCAGCTGATTCAATAAGTTTACAACAGGTATTTCATATAACTTCAATGTCCCATTGTTATCTAAATAAACATGTGTTTTTAAGTGCACGAGAAATGTACACCTCCTCTACTCTGAGCTGCAGAGCTAGATCATTCTGTTAGAATGTGGCTGAAAGTCCTGCATCAAAAGCAAACCTTTGATGTGAGCAAATCTCTCCTTTCCAGAGCAAAAAAGCTTCTTACTGCTATTCAATATGCAGGACTTGCAGCATCTAAGAGTTATATCACAGTGTGCTCATGCAAATGTTCAGTTCTTCATAAAAGCTATGGTTAATGAATGTGGAATATTGTGCTTCTGTATCCAGAATTCAAAAAGCCACGAAATGGCCCAATATTGCTGCACAATATGATGCCCATGCTGCCAGCAGGAAAAAGGATGCCAAGCTTTACACAGCAAAGAGCAGCCTGAATGCTGACAACACCAACGGCAGCAGTCAAGATGGTCTATAGGATACCTTCTTGTGTTCACTACCATTTATAAAGTAACACTAGGGAAAATCCCAGAAGCGGACTCCTTTTTAAAAATGAGTTATTCACATTTCATCCAAACACAAAGCAACTGTCACGTTTCCTATACACACACAGGATTCTATGATCTTTATATAAATTGCAAGTTAAGATTTTTTTTTTTTTGGAACAATCTATTCTGCCTTTGCCAGTGCTAGGGGGAAAAATAAGAAATTGAAGCAGAATTTTAAAAACACATTATTTCTTGGCCTTTAAGATCAGAAGATCAACTTTGCAAAGCTATTGAAGTAGCTCAGGATTTTAGATCAATCTCACAAGGCTATTCAAGCAGCTCAGGAATCTACAGGACATCATCATCACCATTAACACCAAGAAAACTAGCAGACCAGGGCTCTGCAACAGTTAGGTACCTGGGTAAAATTTTACCTGAGCATTTCCCAGAGGACTTGCATAGCTGGCTGGTTAAGGAGAGGCAACAGCGTAGTTGAGGTCAGATGTTCCAGTTCTTCCAGACAGTCAACAGGGTTAACTGATGGCTGTGGAGAAAATAGAGGGGAAAGGAAATTTTGTGACTTTTCATGGAAGTCAGCAATTTCTGCTCAGCAAGTCAGACCTACTTAAAATGAGAGAGCTGGTCCTATAATCTCATTTGATCCTAGCTAGACACGTCTCAGTAAAGGATGGAGGCTGACCAAATCACAGAGTTGGACATTTCAAAGTCTTGCCTAGTCCAGGGGTGGGTATTTTCCAAGGGACCTGGATCACTTTTCTTCTCCCTCAGACCTGGCAGAACTTCACCCACACTCCAATTACCTTGCACTGTCACCCCAAAAGCAGAAAACAGAGTCACGTTGTCCTCCCAAAATGCAGCTTGTACCATGAGAGACTTCTGGGAGGTACGAGTTATAGCATACAAGTCACTTTGTTCCCTCCAGGCCCTGTTTTAGGCTTTAAATTGCCTTTTTTGAAACAGGGTGTGACTTGTTAGTCACCTCCATTTTTCCGAAAAAGCTTTTAAAGGCTTAGCTAGGGGAACAGGAAAATAAGGTTTACTGGGTAAATCGTTGTGCTTCCTAAAGGATTCTCTCTGTGTGTGTGCGTGCTGCACATGTCTGAAAGAGTGGATCGCCTTTCTCTCCCGCCCCACAGTTTCTCCCGAAGGGCTGCTCTCGATAGCTTTTGTGGCAGCAGAGAAGCGGGGGGGGGGGAGAGAAAGGTGATCCGCAAAGCCATTGGGAGCAGCCCTTCAGGAAAAGCTGTGGGGCGGGAGAAAAATGAGATTGGCACCTTCGGAGCTTTCAAAGGGCTTCCTCCGATGTCGGGTGGAAAGCCCTTTGAGAGCTCCAAAGGCAAAAGGGCAGGGAGAAAGAGCTCGAAATTCTAATTTCCCGCCCTTTCTCTCTGCCTTTTTGCCTTTGGAGCTTCCAAAGGGCTTCCTCAGATGTCAGGGGAAAGCCCTCTGAGAGCTCCGAAGCTGCCGATGGCGACGGTGGGGACCCCCAAGGAGATCTCCCAGGGCTTGCCCGCTACCGCTCCCTGGGGGTCCCTGCTGCCACAATCGGCGGCTTCCGAGCTCTCAAAGGGCTTTCCCCTGACATCGGAGGAAGCCCTTTGAAAGCTCCAAAGCTGAAAAGGCAGGGAGAAAGGCTGGGAAATTCAAATTTCCTGCCCTTTCTCTCTGCCTTGTTGCCGTTGGAGCTCTCAAAGGGCTGCTACCCATGTCGGGCGGAAAGCCCTTTGAGACCTCCGAAAGCGACCAACAGCTCCGTTCGCAAAAAATGGCATTGGCTTGCGAACGAAGCCTCGACCTCGTTCGTAGGCCGAGGCTCCGTTCACAAGTCAATGCCAATTTTTGTGAACTGAGCTATTCGTAAATCGAAAAGTTCATATGTGGGGCCGTTCGTAAGTCAAGGGTTGACTGTATAGTATTTGCTATTCACTATAATCCATGTTTTTTAGCATCCACAGGGAAAGGCTTGGAACTGATTCTCTGCAGACAAAGGGGTTTTACAGGCTTCACATGCACAGGCCTTACCTCAGAGGTGTCATAGACAATTTCATCTTGGGCCGTACTGGCATTATGGTTGCCCTCAAAGGGCCAGTTGTATCTGTAAGACTATATAAATGTATCTACTCTTTCTCATATTAAATATAATCCTCATTCGATTATTACCGGTTTTAGTAACAACTTAAGTAATAATTAGCTCTGAAAGTAAGTCTATTTTCAAAATCTAGAAATAATGGCAAACAGATATTTAAGTGTACAACTCTCGTACAATTTATTGAAAAGTGAGTTTTATTAACACATGTTGATGCCTGCTCCACAGCCCCACCTATGTTTGTTTATTTTTTTAGTTATTCACAGAAGTCTCCACCTTTCCCTTGAACTTGCCATGGTCCTCGTTATCCCCTGACTCCTCACTCGCTTCCATAGCCGATGCGGGAGAGGAGGTAGAGATGGCCGCTGCTAGGCAACGTCACTGGTCCTCACTGTGAGCCCTAAGAATGGGTGGGGAGGCAAAAGCGAGGACTACCTTTCCCAAGGTGCTGTACATCACCAAGTGGCTGCACTTTCTGACTCTTTGCCGCTTGGAATACTGGGATTAGAAGTCCCACTGGACAGATTCCCAGCATCCTTGCAGAGCATTATGGGTGACCAAGTAAGTGCCTGCATATTCTATGCTGCACAGTAGCAGGCAAAACTGTGAGGGCCACATGAAACAGCACGGTGGGCCTGATTCGGCCCATGGGCCTTGAGTTTGACACATGTGCCTTACCTGTTGACTGCAATTACTGTAATACACCTCCAGATAGATGACACAGGCTGTAGTGAGAGGCTGCAGTTCTTGCCAGGTATCGAAGTGAGATATCTGCTTAAGGCACTGCTTCAAAATAGAGTCAATTATGGGTCTGAAACCTGACACCTGACTCCAGGTGACTGGTGGAAGTGGAATTTGATCACTGCCTTCTGGCTCATTTCTGCAACAGAACGAAAAGGCAAAATGTTGAAAGAAAACTTAAATTACTAATGCCAAAAGTCCAAGGAGCCTTTACAAAACTCACAGGAGAACAAATATGAAATCCAAGGAAAACATAAGATGTTTTATGCTCTTTTGTTACTCAGGTTTACTCTCTGAACAGATCTGAAAACATTTAGCTAGTATATTAACATATTCTAAATAAATTTCAGCCAGTAGTATATCACATTCCTAAATTTAAATGTTCAGAGATTGGCATTGATATTCTCAATATCTGACATATACAAGAATTTCATGAACTAAAATGCCAGAAAGAGCTCGTCCTCCTTCTTCAGACTTTCCACTGTGGGAGAAATAAAGCACCACTTGTGCAATGCTGCTTAGTACTGCACTTTACCACAAGCCTGGGGAAGCTGTATCCCATGACGTATGGCTGAAATATAACTCATTTGTAATGCTTGTTTTATTTAGCGAGCAACCCTGACACTGCCTAGACCAGGCTTGTCCAACCGGCGGCCCAAGGGCCGCATGCGGCCCAGGTCAGCTCGTAATGCGGCCCAGTG